AGCAATGATGCCCAAGGGTGTGGGGATAAGGTGAATATTTTACGAGAGTTTTAATATAGTTGGAGCATAGTGGGGCATAAGGTCGGGATTGGTCAAATAATTAGAAAAGGCCTGGAAACTCTTAAAATGCAACTTGGGCTTCCTGTGGCCCTGTGAATGTCATGGATCCCACCCCCAAACACACATATAAGTTGAACTGCATGGCTGGTCATGTAGCAATTGTTGTAGAAAACAAAGGATTTTATTCAAAATGGCATTTTGTTTCACTTAAATTTCACGGTTATATTCTCATATTGTTTTCTCTGTTTTGGTTTTTGTCCCCTAGTGTCGGAGATTTGATTTCCCATTCACCCCCACGATGTGGGGTATTTACCAACATTTGCCAAGTCCATTTTTCAAATGCCCCACATATCCCCACCCTGTCCCGGGTTGGGGGGGGTCTACTTTGACTAGTGTATATGGATCATCTGCAAAATCCCGAATCTGCAGTTATTTGATGTTTGACTCAATTGAAGCGATTGAAGTTGCACCTGAAAGAACAACTTTTAAAGCGATCGTTTATCTATACTACTCTATGATTTTTTTGGATTGTAATTTATGCAAGAAATTAGTGATTTCTACTGTTTTCACAAAAAAATTGGTCCATTTTGCTGTGATAAAGAATTTCAGAGGAGACATTTATATAAACATAAGACAGAATCTAGTCAAGTTTTAAGAAATTCCTTGGTGCTGAAGTCTTGTAACAGTCAATAACATGGACAAAAAAGGTTGAAAAGGACTGCTGCCCAAGAATTTTTTTAAAACTTGGCCAGATTGTGTCTTTTGTTTATACAAAAAGATCCAAAATTTTCTATCAATTAATAAAACGGACCAATTTTTTGAAAAATCGATTTTTTTGTGTKAAAACATTGCATTAGTGATTTACATGCTAACTAGTAAACAATGTATGTTAGCATGTTTTAAAATCACTAATTCCTTGTATAAAACAAAATCCGAATAAATCATACCATAGATAATTATGATTGCCTTAGTTAACCTAGAGATTGGCCAACTTTCAAGTCAATTGCTTGAAAGAACCTAATCGAACTTTTCTATCTAATTGATGATATACCTAATATTTAATCCTATAATTCACAGGCGTCATTGACTTGATTGGTTCTCACGGTGGACTTGTGGAATTCAAAGCCGCTCAACTTGCTTCAAATGGCTTTGCAGCCCTTGCATTGGCATACATTTTGCATAGTGACCTCCCTAATCAATTAGAAGATATTGAGCTTGAATACTTTATAGAAGCTGTTGATTGGYTGAAAAATCACCCRTCAATCATCCCAGGAGGGGTRGGRSTAWTGGGGATATCTAAGGGAGCTGAAATTTCTGTAYTACTTGCTTCACACTGTCAAGATGTCCAGGCAGTAGTTTCCGTAGSTGGAAACTATGGTCTTTCTAGTTTTCCTRTGATCTTTAGAGATAAACTTGTTCCGTTCATTAAATTTGATCCATCAAAGACTGTTGCATTGGAAAATAGTGCTTTGAAATGYAGAGAATGTTACATTGATGACTGGASTGGAAGTGTTGAAGRAAACCCAAAMRYCATTCCTGTGGAGAAAGCCARTGCATCRWTTCTCATTATTTATGGMACAGATGACCATGCATTAAACACTGAATTATCTGCAACTTATAYGTACAGCAGATTAAAGGCATTTRGTAAGGAGGMMCGATGTACTGTTCTTGGTTACCATGGTGCTGGTCACATAATTGAGCCTCCGTATACTCCACATTCCAGTATGAGTTACCAAAAGAACTWCAATMTTTACTTTTCTTGGGGTGGAGAAGCCAAASCACACGCTTGTGCTCAAGAACACGCCTGGCAAAGGATATTGTCATTCTTTCRGGAACATTTGCCTAAAAATATGTTTAGCAAGTTATAAGGTGTGGTAGCKTRTTTTTTGTATACATGATATTTCAAGGGCAACAATGAGGATTGTAAAAAGACYKCTCAATTTGTTGTAGTCTAAGACAATGGGACGATGACTAWTCAACACAGTTCTGGTTTGGGGTRAACACWAAGCGGTTTGGCAGCAAMAATTCTTAGGGCTAAATTTGTGCATCGTWTAKTATTAGCAGGAAAMTTTCATTAAAACATGCTGTTTCAAAGCTCAAGACAGTACATGATACTCTGCTCTCGATGCCAGATTTGTACAGATTGTACAATACATGAAGCGAAAAAATTTTCAGATTTGTGCGAGTGTGATATTTTATATATGATCTATTAACCATTTTTATTTTGGTAYGTTCTTGTACAAGGGCGGATCCAGGATTTTCCTCAGAGAGGGATGTGGGACTCTCAGGAGGGGGTGTACCCCACAAATATCATTACCATGAAGATACAAAATAAGGAAGGTATTGAAGGATATAGATCTCAGGGGGGGTGCGCACCCCCTGCACCCACCAGCTGGATCCGCCCCAGTTGAAAAAGTCCTGATGTTTTGTATCTAAATAAAGTTACTATACCACAGRGGGAAGTCTGATCAAGTATATTTTCACAGTCCAGTATTTATAAAGTCCCGATTGCACATTAATTACTACGCCATTGGCCCATTAAAACAAGCAATATATAAGCTTCGTTCTGGGGACCTTGACATTTGGTCCAAAATTGTGAAACTTCGGATTATTGGGGAGACGGTCCTGTAAGCAAACGGTAAAATTCCTCCGATTTGCATTATGGATGACTTGGAATAGTTAAAGGAGTATAAGAATTGTTATAAGGCTAGTTAATTATTAGAATATACATTTACTAAAATTCATTGCAAATGTGCAACAGAATACCAACAGAAACAACAATAACACCAAGAAGAGGGCAGACCTATTGCAAGTTTGTCGAAATTGAACCAAGCGACTTCAGTTACACTTTCAGGTGTTTGCTTCATTTTTCGMAATGAAATAAAAACCTATTGTTTGAAAGAGAGCAGTCCCGAACTGTAGAATATATATTGAAAAAACACTTAGACATCATGTAACTCTGCTGTACAAAAACTACATGCATTATTTCTACTCGTACATTATATAATAACAACACCAATATTGGTTCAAGATGGAGCAAATTTGCAGCAAAAAGCAAAAAGGGACGTTTGACGTACCATTAAAGGGCTACTTGGACGAAAATTGCGAAACATTAGAAAAGACTTGGAAATCAAATAGACCTATCCACATGGGTGTAATAATCATGAAGCAACAGATTTCTAGAAAATATTGGTGCAAATCCTTAATAATTTGGACAACAAATGTTGGAGTAGATGACGTCATTTGCTCAATCCTTTTGTTCTTCCATCTTTTGAATCAAAATTTCTCTGATGTGGGATAATTCCAAGACAAATATTTTCCCGCAATTGTTTTTAATAGATATAAATGAGTCATATATTTGTATTGCTTGAAGTTTTGAAATAAGACCATTCTCATGCCAGAAGCACTTTAAACACTCTCTTTGGATCACCGCTGTTATAAGGTTGATGRATGCACGTGTCTGGCCATATGATTAATACTGACCTGTCCGGAGTCACCAACCTTGATATTATCCCTGTACTACGATCGATCGGCTTCCAGTGAGTCTGCCATTTTGAAGTCTGGCGTTGTTTAGTGGTATGCAATTTCAAATCTAAGGTYTCACATATGTCAGGATATTAAGGGATAAAGCGAGACATCTCACCTTTCTTTCAGCAAGAGTATTGCAAGTTGGCCTGCGTGTCGGCTGTAGTAGAGGGGTTGGGTGTACGACCTTTTTTGATCATTTAGGGCCGCAACGCATAATGTAAGCTTATCTCTGCGTTATTAAAATCTGAAATTTAAAACTAAAAAACTGGCAAACATATTCGAAAAGTCGAAAAGGAACAAGTTAAATATCAATATACACGTGTTCTCTCATTTCATGGAGCCTCTAAATTATAGGCGGGGACACAGCTCCATCAAATCTATCCATACGTTGATTTTAACATATCATAACAACGATATGGTTGTAGAATATGATATGGCCAAATTAGTGGGCTCCATGTTGATTGATTTTAATAATATAATAATAATAATAATAATAATAATAATAATAATAATATGTGGTATTTATATAGCGCCGATATCCTCTGAGTTCAAAGGCGCTTCACATGTATAGATCATTTCACACGGACCGCTGTTTAAGGCGCAATTGGCAGCCACGCGGCTTACAATCATGAGGGGTTAGTTAGTAGTAAGGCCTAGCCACACACACCGGGAATCATTCCCTACTCTTATGCGAACAGTGGTGTGGGTTCTTTAACGTCCCTCTATTACAGGTTAGTGAGTCTACTTCACGTAGAGAGACAGGACCTCCGATTTTACGTCGTTATCCGAGAGGATAAGAAGATCTTACCATTTGCAGATGGAGAAAGACAAAGGCAGCAACTTCTCCTCAATTATTTTAAGACCCTGAGTGTTGGTCCGGCCGGGGTTTGAACCTGTGACCTCCCGCACTGAAGTCCGATGCTCTACCTACTTAGCTAACCATAGGAATATCAATTGAAGCAAGGAAACTTTTAATCTCAACCTAAWTAAGCAAACAATCAATAATCATATTTACATGTAAATCGATTTATCTACATCACAGTTTTTATGTTGTTGGACTACCCGTGTAGACGCGTGAACCTGGCGTGAAAATTATACAACCGATACAACCTGTAAATTTCCATTCTAATATTTCTGACTAAGGGATAACTGATCTATCAGTTACCCCGTCGATTATTTGTCCTAAAGGTCCGGAAGAGCTGTAGACACCCCCTTCTTCATCCTTCATCCCTCATCCCTCAAAAGACATCCATCCAGAATGGCGGCTTTGAAATTGTCGACCTTGAAATCACATACATCTAACCGAAACACTTCTTATAACTTGCTAAAGATATTTTGAGGCAAATATTCACGAAAAATTGACAATCTCAAAAGCACCTGTGTCGCCCTTCCTTCTTTAAAATAATTTGCCTCTGGCAAACGTTTTTTTTTATTTTTATTTTTAAGGACAAAAAAGGCTTATATAACGTTTTTATTGTCAAAAACGGCTTATATTTTTTTAGTTAGGAAATTTTAATTTTCCTGGCAAAAAGTTCTCATAAAGTATTCCTTGCCTGGGTAGGTCTTTTTCCTGAATTTCTCTCTGGCAACCATTTGCGACTTACAGACAGCTGGCTCAGACAGAAGAAGAGATATATTTCTCCCAGGAAGCCATCGGCCCCTCCTACAGTTAAGAGCTGTCGTACCCTTATTGGGATTAAAACAACCAGCCAATTCGTTTAGTCAATTCCACTAAGTAAAACTGGATGTA